CGGGGGAGGGAAGGGATTGTGAAATGCCAGGAGTGTGTTTCAGTACCAATAAATTACTGATGTTTCCTGGTGCCAACTACACACAACCCTGTCCCTTTTCTCTCCAAAATAAATCAGAAAAGGTCAGGAGCAATCGGCTTCCTGGGTTCCCCAGAGCTCACGGTGAAAGGAGAGCCACGCATAGAAGAGCAGCATTGCTAACAACAATCCGTGTTTCCTGCAAGTCTGATTTTTTTTTACTTGCACTGTTTTCGCCTCGCGATATCACATATGAAAGTGTTGCTTTGCTTTCCCATTTACAAAAGAGCAAGGAAAGGAGGTCTTCCAGGTGAGCAGGTCGGGTTAGGGGTGCACGGAACCCTGGAAACCTCCAACCTGCGAAGCACCACCCGACCCCGCCCCCTCGGATGCCCCAGTGCAAAGGGTACTAGTCGTCACCCGGCCCTCAAACCTCCGCTGACAGCCGCTCCTCCTCTCTCCCCTCAAACGAAAGGCCGTTGGCTATTGGCCCCGGGCGCCTTTCGGGAAAGTGCGAAAGGGTCGTGAACACACGACCTGACTCACCTCCACCCAGGGAAAGATGACTGCCTCGCTGTCCCCCGGGGGCGGAAGTGCCTGCGACTCCCCGGCGCGCCTGGACTACATTTCCCAGAATTCCTCGACATCGCTCCCCGGCAACGCAGTGCCTGAGCGCACTGGGACCTACGCTCCCAAGAAAGCCGCGGGAAACTTGAACTGCAGTCTGTACTGCAGCCGCAGTACCTGCCACCACACCGGGCTCCCGAGTTCTGGTCCCCGAAGGGAAGGCAGTAAAGGGAAAACCGGCGTCAGCACTGCTCTTCTGCGTTACACGTCCCGAACCTGCGGGTGAACATCGACGCAGCCGCCCCGCTTAATACCGGAATGCCCAACCCCGGAGCTACTGTTTTTCACTTTCAGGTGTCCCCGAGGTCCCAGGCAAAAGTCTTGCCATTCCAGCTTGTCGGCCTTAGGGAGTGTAGATTCTGCTTTTGGAAAAGTGGAAACTGAATAGTACTTTAGACATTTCCAGCGGCTAAGGGACATGTGTTCATTGACTATTGCAGATCTTTCTAGGTAACCACAGGGAACTTCTCCTAAGGAGTAAGAGCAAGCGTGAACTGGGCCTTGTTTGTAAGGACTGAAAACAAAGGTCACTTTGAACTGCTTAGAGAAGAACGTGTTTTCTTAGCATCTATCCACAACTTGCAGAAAGAAAAGCCTTTCTCAAGAAAGATATCCTAAGCTTCACATCTCTAATTTTAAATTTTACAAAGCCCAAGTATTCCTATTAAGTATTGTGACTTGTCTTTGATTGTGGAGGGTTAGATGCAACAACTCCTTCACTTAGGAGGAATATCTCAACACACCCACACTACTGAGTACCTGGACCCCAGTTCTGTATGCATAAAATAGATCTTAAAAACAAACAAACAAACAAAAAACTGATTGACCTAGATTCTACTTGTGTAGATCAAATAACAATTTAGTAGACTTCATCTGTCCATTCACTAGGGACACCAAAACCAAGAAAATGTCAATAAGCCAATGAATAATGACTTGAAGCTTTTGGCTGTCTGTGTCTGGAATTTAGGGCCATGAGCTCATCTTTTCCTTTTCCACTTTCGCCACCACAGTTAGAACAACCAGAAAATATCACTATATTACTTAGTCTGACCAGTCTATTCTAAGGTAATAATTCAGTTCCCATCTTTTCTCTATTGTGAATTTTTTTATGAGGTTAGATCTATGATTTATGTCTAATTATTGTCCACATACTTCATGTGTTTCCCCCCCCCTCACTTGATGGCCCAAAGTGTGTGAGGAAAAAGTACTATTCAGTTGTAAGTGGTGTCACTTCCATCCTAGAAGTGAATCCTGGTGACAATTATGTGGATGTTGACTCTGTAAGAAGTAAATGGCCCTCCCTGGTGGCGCAGCAGGTTAAAGCACTGCACTAAAAAGCTAAAGCCACTTCCGCATGAGTTGATCCCTGCCTGCCCTGGAGATGACCACATGGCGTGGCAGACCTCTCCTGACCTGCCCGCTGCTCCCCTCAGCAGTGTACTTTGTCGATCTGCCTGTTCTGCTCTCCGTTCTGTCTCTGGTGAATCCTCTTACCCTTCGCATCTCTGGCTTGTACCCCAGTTCTGTATGAATAAATAAATAAATCTTAAAAAAAAAAAGTAAATGGGATGCACATAGCTATAGCATGCAAGACAGGCAGCTTATAAATTGACTGCTGGTGAAATAAATCCCCCTCCCATTTGTGGGGAGAAATAAATATCAGAATCCCAATTTCCAAAAGCAGTTCTTTCCAAAAATAATTATGGCCACTACAAAGGGCTCTAGGAAAACCACAGAGAAGGCATGTTCCTCAGAACCACAAAGCTTAGAAATATCCCCTGGGACGTGGGTCTAGTTTACACATGTAATCACGCTAAGAATCATTTCAGTAAGTAAAAACCAGAAAGGTAGCCATCTGAAGACAAGAAATGTTATGTAGTATCTTAATTGTTCTGGGCTAGGGATCATTTGTTAGCATAGTGATGGAGTGACTTGGGTTGAAAATCAAACATGAAAGGCTATGCAGTAGTTTCTTATGAGGGTGTGGGCTATCTCTTTGAACACTGGAAAAATTTTGGAGGCAGACAAGATGTACTTTCACATTTGTCTTCCCAGTTGAAAACAACAGACCTTTAGTGAGCTGTGAAATACACTTAAAAGCTTATATTAGAATTTAGAGATTACAAATAGGATAGAAACTATCAGAACATTACTACCAGCAAAACATGCCCAGCCATGAATTCATTCATATTTACACATTATCTGCCATGTCCCAGGGCTGTTCTAGGGCCTGAAGACAGAGCAATAGACAATAAAATTTTCCATGGCAGATTATTTCACCGTGGAGAAAAAAGGTAGACAAAATATGAGGACCCTCCCTGGTGGCACAACAGGTTAAAGCACAGCAGTGTGAAGCTATCCACAACCACTGCAGCACGAGTTCAATCCCTAGCCAGGGAGGTGACCCGCAGGGTGCAGCAGACCTGTTTCCCCTACTGCTCCCCTCAGCAGTGTTTCAGTATATCTGTCTGTTCTGCTCCCCATCTCTGGTTAATCCTCTAGCCCCCACACCTTTGGCCTGTAACCCAGTTCCTGTATACATAAATAAGTAAATCTTAAAAATATATATGATATGACATAAGGCAGAAAAAATAAAGATAGGTTGTTATTTGTAGGGGGCGGTTTAAGAAGGCCTGTTATGGTTGCAAAGCTAAGCAGGGACCTAAGGGAAAGGGTCCATTTAACAAAGGACATGTATCTAGAATAAATTAACTCTCAAAAACCAGGAAGAAAAGTCTACCAAAGAAAATGGGAATATAGATAAGCAATCATATAGAAGCTCAAAATAGTCATTAGGTAATTGCAAATTGAAACCAAAATGAGATCCCATTACATATTTATTAAAATGCCAGAACTAAATAAACAACAAAACCCTGGTGTGTGACCACAGTGGGAATGCAAACTGCTAACTCAATTTTGAAGTGTGTCAGGTTTTCATGAAGTCAAAGATAGTCTTATCATAAACAACCCAGTAACCCTATCCCTAAGCATTTTGTATGACAAAGAAAGCTGTATAGATACAAAAACCAGCACACACATTTATCACTGCCATCTTCAAAAATGCTAAAACCTGGAAATCCAAATGCCTTTCAAGCCATCAGGACGGGTAAACTATGGCACATCCATGAAACATACCACTCCTCAGCAATTAAAAGAACTACTGACACATACATGAAGATGGATGAGGTGCAGAAGGAAAAATGAGAGAAGACAGACGAGACAGATGCTGCACATTACTCAGTACAGGATACTATTTGTGACATTCTGGAAATGACCAACTCTAGACAGGACACAGATCAGTGATTGACAGCCAGGGGCATGGGGGGGGGGGAGTGAGGCTGAATAAAGAAAAATAAGGAATTTTGAGAGGAAGTGGTGGGAACTTAAATATCTTGACTGTGGTGGTGGCAACATGTCAGTAATCTTTTGCCAGAACACACAGTGACTCCCAAGATCAACTTACTGCACATAGATAATTCCTAATTAAAAAAAAAAAACTATTAGTGTGTAGGACTTTATGTAGATGCCTCTTATTTTACTGAAGAATTATATGGATGTTGAATTTTGTCAAATGGTTTCTCTGTATCTGTGGTGATCACATATTTGATGCAAAGATTCCAGATGTAGAAGAGTACACACTAAACCACAAAAATACATAGTGAGCCCATATGAAGCTCAAGAACAGACCGAAGTCATCTGGAGGACAGAAATGATACTTGTTGCCACAGGAGTCTGACCAGGAGTGCACACAAGGAAACTTTATGATTTAATAGAAATATTGTGTACATTAACAGGTGATCATACAAAGTATAGGCATTTGTCAAAACTCATGAAGCAAGAAATTCTGGTTTATGCATGTTACTGCATGCAAGGTATACCTCATAAAGTACTGTTGGCATCAAAGTGTTGTTCACAATGTAGTGAACTGCTCTCTAGACTCACTAATGGGTTATTACATCTTCAGTTTGAAAATGCTAGTTCACATTACCTGCAGGGCTGTGGAAATGAAATTTTGTCTAATTTAAATGCCTTCCAAGTCTTGTAGAATTCTAAAATACAATTTTAAGAAATTGTTACAGATGGACTGAATACAAATTTCAACTGGCTGTTCTCTTTCACTCACTTAGTAACTACTGAATACCTATGGTGGTTAGACACTGAAAAGGCTGAAAAGACAGCAGATCTGGTAAAGTTCCTAACCCGCTGGAGCTTGTAATCTAAGTGAGAGATATTGGCGTTTTTCCATCTTAGTACTTGTGGTTAACTCCAGAGCAAACTCATCTTCCTAGCCTATCTTTGTCCTACCTGCCAAATGTCAAGGTTCTGAGTTAAGTCTGTCTCCACTCTTATGAAGCTTCTCTGCAGTGTAGTCACCAAACCATTGTCACATATTCAGTTCTGGTTGAAATACGCTTTCATAAAACAAATGTTTTGATAACTATGACCAGTCTGGTAACTGGACTGTTTCAGCACCCATTTGAACTATTAAAACATTTAATTTTATTGAGCTTCTTTCCTGTAGCTCTCCGGTGAAGGAAAGTCCTTGTCCCCCTCATCATCAGCATGGACTCGCTGATGAATGATAAGACTTGAGCTCCAACTGAAACCCTTCCCACACTCCTCACATTTGTATGGTTTTTCTCCAGTATGAACTCTTTGATGGGCTTGAAGGTATGAGCTCCAACTGAAGACCTTCCCACACTCCTCACATTTATAAGGTTTTTCCCCAGTGTGGACTCTCTGGTGGGCTTGAAGGTATGACCTCTGCCGGAAGCGTTTACCACATATGTCACATCGGTATGGTTTCTCTCCTGTGTGGACTCCACGATGAGCCAGAAAATTTGAGGCCCGGCAGAAGCCCTTCCCACACTCCTCACACTGGTATGGTTTCTCTCCAGTGTGGCACCTCTGATGGGCTTGCAGCTGTGAACCCACACTGAAGCCTTTCCCACATTCAGCACACTGATATGGTTTCTCTCCAGTGTGGACTCTTTGATGTACCTGAAGACTAGAGAACTGACTGAAGGCCTTACCACACTTTTCACATTTATAGGGTTTCTCTCCTGTGTGGATTCTACAATGAACATTAAGATCTGAACTCCGACTAAAGCCCTTCCCACAGGTATCGCATTTGTATGGTTTTTCTCCAGTGTGACCTCTTTGATGGGCTAGAAGATTTGAAGCTTGGCTAAAGCCCTTCCCACACTCTTGACACTTATAGGGTTTCTCTCCTGTATGGACTCTAAAATGGATGTTAAAATCTGAGCTCCGACTGAAGCCCTTCCCACACGCATCACACTGATAGGGTTTCTCACCAGTATGGCCCCTCTGATGGTCCAGAAGATTTGAGGCCCGACAGAAGCCCTTACCACACTCTTCACATTTGTATGGTTTCTCTCCAGTGTGGCTTATTTGATGGGCTTGAAGATGTGAACCTACACTGAAGCCTTTCCCACACTCCTCACATTTATAGGGTTTCTCTCCTGTGTGTATTCTACAGTGAATGTTAAGGTGCGAGCTGTAACTGAAACCCTTGCCACATGCATTGCATTTGTATGGTTTCTCTCCAGTGTGAATTCGCTGATGAGCCTGCAGTCGTGAACGCCAACTGAAGCCCTTCCCACACTCTTCACATTTATAAGGTTTTTTTCCCATGTGGATTCTCTGATGAACTTGAAGATATGACCTCTGACTGAAGCCTAGCCCACACTCCTCACATTTATAGGGTTTGTCTAATGGGTGGATTATCAGAGGAGTTTGACAATGGGAGCTTTTCCCAACATTCTTCCCACAGTCCTCATATCTGTATGGATTCTCTCCAGTGGGGCTTCTCTGATGATGATGGACATGTGATCTCTGACGTGTATGAACCTTACAGGATACATCATATTTGTATGATTTCTCGGTACTGTGGACTCTCTGATGGGCCTGAAGACTTGAAAACCGACGAAAGGTATTTTCACATTTTTCACATTTATAGGGCTTCTCTTCTGCATGGGCCATCTGGATAATCTGAAGATGAGAATCCTGAATTATATCTTTCTCACAATCCTCCCCTTTGTAGGATTTTTCTCTAGAATGAATACTGTGGTGAACTTGAAGATATAAACTCTGATTAAAGCCAAATTCTTCATCTTTATAGAGTGTGTCACCATGTTTTTCTGACTGAGAGCTAGTTCCTTGAACATTTACTATGGAATCTTGACATCTGGTTAATTCCTTTGTAACCTGTTGCCAGATTTGTAAGCATAAAAGCTCTCCATGTGGCAGGTACTTTGATCCTGCTTCTTGAAGAGTCTCTATGTCATTTAGATTCTTGTCTCCTAAAAGGATAAAGAGAATTTAGATAGGTCATTATGGTGTCTACTCAAAAATGTCCAGGCTATAAATCCAGGCCCATACCCTAAGGTTTTAGTAAAGCAGAAGAAGATACCACTTCTTTTTATCATGGCTTATATTCCGTGACTTACATGTCTCTAGTAACCGATTTACATGTCTCTAGTAACCAAGAGGTAGTTTACCAGGTTGTCCTTCACTATGCATTAGTCCATTTACAATCATACTTTATGAGTGAGATGAAGATTAGAAATCTAAAGTCTACCGAGCAAGAAAATACTTCTTCCCAAGGACAAAGCTGCCCCTCACTTACTAGTCATCTTCTATAGCAGGTACCTGATCAATAGCTTCCACAGCAGTCTGCCTACTGCATGCATATATGGCAAAAACGCTCAATACAGCATTTATAGAGAGATTACCAGAAGAGGTCCCCTGGGAATGCTGAAGCCTTGCTTTGAGTTATTTTATTGAAAGTTTACTCCAAAGTTGAGGCACTGTACTGGAAAGATACATGTCAGAAGAAAATACTATTATCACCTGCATGCCTAAAGTTCATAGTGTAAACAAAGTCCTTCACCTTCTGCTGGGAAATAGTGTTCAGGAGAATAACTGGGGGGGTGAGTTTTACAGTAATTGTATACATCATTTTAGAAGCCTCAGAGCAATTAAAGCTCTATAACCTACAGGAAGAAAAAAAAATCAAAAGCTTGATTTTTACAAAAGAGTAAGAACATGCAAAAAGGGTAAGTATAGGGTCTCAAAGTCAATACTGTACAAGAAGAACTATATAGTTGGCTCCTTTCTTTTCAAATCACAGCTTATCAGTGAGGCCTTTTTTATCATCCAATATAAATAATAAATTTTCCCTATCTTCAATAGCTCTCACACTTGATTTTTACATACATATGTTACACATAACACATTATAGATGTCCTTTATCTTATTTAAATGACTTCTCCCATTTGAAGACAGTATCTATGAGGACAAGCATTTTATATTATTCACCACTTTATTCCCACTCCTGAACACTGCCTGACAAAGGAGAAATAAATATATGTTGGATGTATAAATGACTTAAGATAAATCCCTTTAACTTCTTTGTGTCATATTATAAAATAGCTTTTTCAAGTAAGTTGTCCATAATAGGATGGATAATTTGAAAAAGCAGTTTTGCTAGATGAAAGGCTTCCTCAGGTAGAGGACTAAATTAAATAAGTGGATACTTATTTAATGAGAAAATCATGTTCATCACAAAATCATGACAAAAATTATTGTGGGCGAGAGGGAATGTGAGGAGTATAAGGCACAAAAGTGGCCTCTAGGGGAGAGATGAGTGCACATAGGTAGCTGAGAAAAAGAGGAATCTCCCTTGAAGACCAGTTAAGACACTGAGAAGCAAAGATGCCTGGTATGAGCACAAAGGGGGTAGATCTATGATGCAAACACACCACAGTCACTTAAGGCCAGCCCTCACCCAGTGACAGCAGGTTCCTGAAGGTCTCCAGCATCACATCCCGGTACAGCCGCCTCTGGGTGGAGTCCAGCAGCCCCAGCTCCTCCTCCGTGAAGACCACAGCCACGTCCTTGAAAGTCACTGGCTCCTGCAACACCAAAAACACACACTGCACCTAAATCTTACAACAAAGAGCCACTGAAAGAAGGGTGGCACTGAGCAGAGGGAAACGGAAGTATAAGGAAATGGTTCAGATCCTAAGAGACTTGGTGGTCCACTTTATTATAATATAGTTAAACATTCCCAGTGGTGCAGGTTAGGCTTTCGATTTGTTTTTCATAATCAATGTTGAAAAGAACAACTTTTTACCTAAATAACAGTACCTCATCTATTTTCTCAGGAAAAGTTTGAAGTAAAAATTGCAAGGTCAAAGATGATGCAACTTCAAAGTTATTTTGCATGATGGCAGATTTTCAACTTTCCACCTATTTGACACTTTTCCCAACAGATTGTAAGCGTACCATGCTATGCACAACACTGAACTGAACCAATGTTTTAGATCAGGCAATCTGACCTGTAGAAAGCAATTTATTTTGATAATATTTGCACTTATTTGGCTGTTAAAAGCTCTTATTTTTATATATTTATTGGCCATCTTCAGTTTTTCTTTAGCATTTTGCTTGTTAATATACTTTGTCCATATTCCAACTGGGATTCACTCATGATTCTGGAAAATTTCTATTCTTTTAGATTTCTAATTGTATTAGAAATTGGAGCTTTTGTTTTTTAAGCTTATAAGTATTTTCATGCATTTAAAAAAAAAAGATTTATTTACTTTTGCATACAGAACTGGGGTACAGGCCAGAGGTGCAGGGACAGTGAGAGGATTCACCAGAGACAGAGTGGGGAGCAGAACAGGCCAACTGATAAAGTACACTGCTGAGGGGAGCAGTGGGTGCGTCAGGAAAGGTGAAGTCTGCCGCGCCATGTGGATCATCTCTGGGGCAGAGATGGAATTCATACAGAAGTGGCTTTAGCTTCTGAGTGCTGTGCTTTAACCTGCTGTGCCATCAGGGAGGACCCTTCATGCATATATTTTTAAAAATATTTATTTATTTATGAATCTTGACAAAAAAAATTAAGAAGCCTACAAAACAGGTATGTTTAGACAATGGGAGAGGCTGAATATGTATTTGGAATTGTTTAATTTCTAAGCAACAATACTGGCAGTGTTGTCAAGTATGGTTATGTCTTCATTTGAGATGATAGTGGAAAAAAATTTTTTGATACTGAAATATTTAAGAGCGAACAGACAAGGTATAGGTTTTCCTTAAAATGGTTTGACAATAAAGGGAGACAGATGAACCAAAATGTAAAGTAAATGAGTTTTGGAAGACAATTGCTCCCTGGAAAATAAATACACAGGATTTACTGAATTTTTCACTGCTCTTGACTTTTTTCTTAATTTTATTTGTGAAATTATAAAATGTGATTAAACAACGAAAGACAAACTGCACTAAGATAAAAAGTAATGGTCAACTGACACAGATGAGGTTCATAACACCTACTGTTCTCCTTAGTCCTTCCCAAGAAGAAAGGACTAAGAAATAAAACAGAAAATTTCCCAAGAAATAAACAGAATGTGTCTAAAGATTGAAAAATTAAGTGACAATTTAAAACTCTGAGAGATAGGCCCAACTTACCTTGAACTTGGTCATGCTATCCTCTTTCTGCAGGGGACCAAGTCTGGAAGACACAATGAAGGAAGGGGAAAAAAGCCATTAGTCTGGCCAAGGCTGTGGCCAGCCCACAGGCTGCTTTATGCAAAAACAGCAAGGCTGTCCCTTCTTCAGGGTGACTCAGTGAGCAGGGGAGGGCTGGATTCCTACACCACTCACCCCTGGGCTGAGAGTTCTGTGCAGCGAGTGACCTCTGAAGCACGCAGGGGCCCTGACTGGAGCTCTCCTTGTAGCTTCCAGGCTATGATTCTGATTCCAGGGAACGTGGAAATTGAGATACAGCACCCAGATGATAAGAGAAATCTAGGGGCTAGCTGCTAGTTCATGCTAGCTGTAAAATCTTGGACAAATTATTACTACTTCTGCCTCAATTCTTGCATCTGTAACACGGTAGGATTAACAATGCCTATCTTATAAGAATTATGTAGGATTTAAATAAGTAGACAGGAAGCTTGGAGAACAATTTCAGGGTACCTCAATTCTGGGCAGTGTCAGCAAAACAGCCAATATTCAGTAACATGAAATCCATTCTCATCAGTGGATTCTCCCAAGGGAGCCTTTAAAGTCACTGTCATATTACCTTCAATCTCTGAAATATCTCATTCTTCTCTGTCATATTTAATTTGTTGCTTTTGCATAATATTTAAGGTTACATAGGTAACTGCCTTTTTTATCTGTGTAGAATATATGAAACTTAAAACTTACCCCACTGTCTGGGGTGACCATTGCCACTGTCCATGTCTAGAACACTGTCACCACCCTTAACTGAGACTCTGTACCCCTTCAAAAATCACTGCACAGAACCCCTGTCTCCACCCCTGGGAAACACTATTCTATTTTCTTTATGAACTTGACTATATGGACGACTTGTTTCCAAATGTTGTAATATGCTTTGTTAACAGTAGGGCCTAAAAAAAGACTTCATCACACAGATGATGAAAAATTTACAAAAGCCCATTTCTCTGCAAGATTTATTTAACTATAAATAGATGTCAGTATGTCACTTAAATTAACAAGTTAGAGTAATCACAGTAATGATAAAAACAGTAAAAGCAAGAATGTTTAACATTCAATAGGCACTGGATACATACCAGGGACTGGCCAAGCACTAAGCATGTCTTGCTTTATTAAGAAAGCTCCCACATACCTGAGACAAAGTAACTGTTGTGCTGGTCCAATCACCTAAGCCTGTGTGCGCACCCTCACCCATCAAAAGGGGATAAAAACAGAATGTTAGAGGACTATGGAAAGAAATAAAAGAGCTAATTTATGCAATGTTCTTGGCATCCCTGGCATTTTAAGAAGTTCTCAATAAATGCCAGTGGTTTTGATGGCTATCCGCATTGAACAGAAGAGGAAGCTGAGGCTTGGTGAGGTCAAGAGGCAGGGGCAAACCTACAAGATAGCCAGTTCTAGAGATCTTGTCTCTTTTCAAGAGGCAAAAATAAGCAGTTGGGAGTTCAAAGTCTCACAGGAAGAGAAATAAAAGCTTGAGAGGAAGGGATTAAAAAAAAAAAAAAGACAGACACAGGGAGTCAATTCTAAAGCTGAAGAATCTGCTTGAATGAAAAAGAGACAACAGACAAGCACTTATGAACAGTGTAGACTCTGTGGTCAAACTACTGGTAACTGAATACCAGCATCTCCAACTCAATAATACTCAAGTCTCAATGTCTTATTTAGAAATTGGAAAGAGTAACAACAATATGAATGTCACAGAAATTAGTCTGTCTCGGAGTATACCTAACTTTTCCTTATAAAGAACAATCTCTTCCTCTCATGACCTACAAGAAAGTAGTGTGGGGGTTTCATTCAGTTCTAGGTTTAGCAGTAAACATTCTCTACCTAAGCATCTCATTTTAACTCTCAGAGTAAGGATAAGGTGACTCCTTGTCTGTCATGTCCTTGACACCCCAGGCCCCAAAATGCTCCATTATTTTTCTAGAGATTTATTTATTTATGCATACAAGAACTAGGGTATAGGACATAGGTGTTGGGGTGTGTGTGTGAGAGAGGATTCACCAGAGATAAAGTGGGGAGCAGAACGGTCAGTGCAATGCTGGGGATAGCTTCGTAGTGCTATGCTTTAACCCCTGCGGCATCATGCGACTTCTCCCAAGCTGCAGAAACCAATGGTTATTTTACACTCTTGTCCCTACAAACCCCACCTACATAGGCTTCCCTGCCAGATCACCTATTTCTGAGGCCAGTCTATTTCTGTGGTCCTTCAAAGTATGTGATATCAAGTATGTGATATCATCCTCTGAAAGGCTGTGACTGTTACTAAAAAACTGATGCCAGTCCTATCTGTCCAGTGGTGGGTGCTTCTGTTCAGCCATCTATATTACTTTGGGCAAGGAGTCCACCTTAGGAATTGGTCAGAATGAGACCAGAATAAAATGGAAAGCTAATAAAAAACATGAGCCCAGATTCATTCAAATAGTATAGGCCAGGGTCTTCATTGTGTTCACCAAGTTCTCCAGGTGATTCTGACTATGACCAAAGTTTGAGAACTACTGAATTATTCTATTGTGTCTCTTAAGGAGTTAACTGAACTGCCCAGGGATACCCAGGAAACCAGGGTCAGGGAGAAGGCCTAATTCCTTCCTATTTCCCTTCATTCTAAGAGGCGTTGAGAAGTCCAAGAGGCTTAAATGTTCTTAGTAATAAATGTTCCAGGAAGCAAATTCTCAGAGTGAACAGGAGGACTTCCACTTATACCAGCATTGTCTCACAAAATGTAATGTAAGCTACATGTCTAATTTCAACATTCCTAACAGTCATTTTACGAAGAAGCGTGTAAGGGGCTCCCTCGTGGTGCAAGGGGTTAAGTTTCAGCATTATGAAGCTATCAGCAGTCACTGAAGCATGGTTCCATCCCCATCCAGGGAGCAGACCCAGATGACACAGCAGACCTCTCCTGTCTTGCCCATATCCCCCTAAGTAGATTTCAATCCATCTTCCTAGTCTGCTCCCCACTCTATCTCTGGTGAATCCTCTCACCCCCTGCACCTCTGGCTACACCCCAGCTCTTGTATGCATAAATAAAATAAATCTTAAAAAAAAAGAGCACATGATCTTAATTTCAATCACATTTTACTTAACCCAATATATCCAAAATATTATCACTTCAAATTGCGATCAATACAAAAATTACTGAGATGTTTCTTTTTCTTTCCCCCAAAGCCAGTGTCTGAAATCCATGTGTGCCTTTAACGTACAGCACTAGCCCAGCCACATTTCAAGTACTCACTACTCACACTGGATAATGGCTGCCTACCGGCTAGTGTAGATTTAAAACCTCTGACTGCAACAGAGACCACATAGTCATCCCACAGGAAATGTCCAGGCTCACAAGACAGAAAATTTGTGCATGCTGGTTTGAAGAGTAAACATATATTAAGGTAACAATCCGTTTTTGTTCCAGTGTATGACAGAACTGAAATGTCAAAGGAGAAAGCAGTGTAGAAAACATTACTTTGCTGTATTTTTCTAGTTGCTTATTCACCTATAATTGACAGAGGAAACTATGGTCTTTAATACAGAGAGGATTTACTATGTGCTGGGCATGGGCATTATTTCAAGCACTTTATAAAACATCGCTCTTTATCATTATAAAATCTTCGGAAGAGACATTGTCCTTACTTGACAGGTAAGAAATCAGGTAATTTCTTGACAGGTAAGAGGCACAGAAAAGTAAAAATGTTCCCAGGGTTATCCAGTCACTGAGTACACAGGAGGTTCTGAACCAAGCTGCTGAGGTGATTCTACCTTGACCCCTCACTGCCTGTGCTTTTTTATTTTCAAAATGATAGTAATAATAACATTGTTATGAAAAATGAGTTAGTACATGTAAAGCATTAGAAATTCTCTGAGTCATAAGAGGTATCCACCAAAATGTTAACTTATTTCATCATCCCCATGAGAAAAACTTTATGTTCCTAAGGAAATGTTTTGAATTGACATTATGCACCATTGTATATCATCTTTTGAAATCTATGAAGTTGGACTCTATGGTTCCCCAAAAGTGAAATAGAAGACAAGGTCTTTGCCTTTGTGTTTTGTTCTCTAATCCTAACTGCATGAATCACACTTACTCACTGAAGAACTCCTCTCTGGTGGCCTCGTGCTGTGCACCGTGATAACAAGATGAGACTCTAGTAAGACTTAAGAAACCAAGAGCTGGTCCTCCCTGGTGGCACAGAGGATTAAAGCACAGCACTGCAAGCTAGCACTGCAAGCTGGTCACAGCTGCCTCAGTGCAAGTTTGATCCCAAGCCCCAGAGGTGATCCACAGTGTGGCAGACCTCTCCTGACCCATCCACTGCTCCCCTCAGCAGTGTACTTCATTAATCTGCCTGCTCTGCTCCCCACTCTGTCTCTGGTGACAGAGTGCACCTCTGGCCTGCACCCCAGGTCTGTATACATAAATAAACTCTAAAAAAAAAACCAAGAGCTTTATGACAGGGAAAACTGCAACTCCAAATGAGCATAGTTATCATTTTCCTTTCCCCAACTGCAACTCTTTTTAGTTTTCTCATATAAGTAACATTCTTTTAAAATTGCCAAGAGTTAATATTCCTCTTACCGGTTGAATTTTTATGTTGAACTTTTATGTTGAAGCCTTAACCACCAGTATCACAGAACATGATTGTATTTTGAGACAGTGTGTTTCAAGAGGTGATTTCATTTGCAGTGGGCAATTAGGGTAGGTCTTAAACCAATAAAACTTTTGTCTTTGCGGGAAGAGTTTGGACACACAAAGGGAGGTGCATGCTTGTACACAGAGGAAAGACCCTGTGAGAATACAGCAAGGCAGCCAACTATAAGACAGGAAAGCAGCCTCAGGAGAAACCAAACCTGCCAACACCTTGATCTTGGACTTCTAGCTCCAGGTCAGTGAGAAAATAAATTTCTGTTCAGCTACCCAGTCAGTGTGATTTTGTTATAGCAGTCCTAGAAAATTAATACAAGCTAACCTCACTTCATATATAAACATATATGAACAAATGCACATATACACTTATATAGACATATGTAACCAATTTCTAAGTCTTATTTACTTAACAACTTGGTTTGCTCTAAAAAAAAATCTGTGTGAGGAGAGGAGGAGCAACAAGATTAGCAAGGATTGAAGCGAGGTGATTATTATGTGGGTATTCTATGTTTGAAAACGTCCATAGGAAAGAGTCAAGGGATAATTATGAAAAGTGTGGTGACAATTTCATAAAGTACAGAGGATATACATTAAAAAACTGCTAAGTATTAATAATTGCTTATATCCTTTTTGTCCGTATCAATATATATATCTCATATGTGAGTATTTATTAATACTTTCCATTACCTAGTTCTACATTTTCTAAATATTCTACACTGAATGTGCAATTCTTCTATAACCAGGAATGCACTATACTGCTCAAAATAGAAGTAAATAAGAATTCTCACAAAATTTTATAAAAAGTTCAAACTCACTAACACTGCTTTTTAAATCTTTCCCAATGAAGTTCCAAAGAACCTCCACAACTTACTCCCAGATGACTCTTCTCCAGCCAACTTCCTATGACTGAGCAGTTAAATATACTATTTTGTTTCCTATTTCCTATTTGGACATTTTTTTTAAAAGATTTATTTATTTGTACATACAGAACTGGGGTACAGGCCAGAGACTCAGAGGTGGCGAAAGACTTCACCAGAGACAGAGTGGGGAGCAGAACAGGCCAACTGACTAAGTACACTGCTGAGGGGAGCAGCGGCCAGGTCAGGAGAGGTCTGCCACGCCATGTGGTCACCTCCGGGGTAGGCGGGAATCGAGCTCATGCGGAAGTGGAATCGAGCTCATGCGGAAGTGGTTTCAGCTTCTTAGTGCTGTGCTTTAACCCGCTGCGCCACCAGGGAGGGCCCCTATTTGGACATTTTAACTGTGGGGCAAAGGATATCTAGAGATACAAGCCTAGACTCAAATCCCACTCAACAATGGTGAGAGGAAGGATAAGTAACTCATGCTCTTTCTCCATTTCCTTTCTTGTAAATTAGGGGTAATGCCCATATTGAACTTCACAGATCTTGTGAAGGCGAAATGCTTAATTTTTATAAAGTTTTTGAATTATAATTAAGACTCACTATTAACTATTATGACTACTACTCATCCCCCTCAGATGTTCTCCATATTTCCCCAATCATTTAACGATAACTGAACACCTTTGTAGTAAAAACATTTGTTAATGAGTAAAATGCCTTCTACTTGGAACAGAACAGGCACATGCATGCCAAGTACTGTCACTATGGGGATGCTGCCAGGAGCCCAGAATTCACTCCCTCCTAAGGGGAACCCTCTTTCCTAAGTCAAGGCAAGGGAAGAACAGGAGGCTGGAAGAGACCACGATATTGCCCGGGGTCCTGAAAAACCACTGATTATATCTGTGGTCCACGCACTCTTTTTTAAGAAGTGGGTCAGGAGTCGTCCAGACACAGCCTGCTTTGCTGCAGGATCAGATAAGAGCCAGTGACACTCTGAGGAACTTCTAAAGAAGTACTTTTCTCGTTGTTTAATGGCATTAAAAATTAACAGCTAATAACTTTGTGCCACAAGCCTGAACTATTTTAAACCTTTTATTTGTACTATACCATTATATTAGATAAACAAATGCGTAAGAGTAAGAACTCGTAATATCCCCTATTGCAGAAAAGGAAACTGAGGCACAGAAAGACGAAGTTCTCATTCAACATTTTACAGTCTGAAAGTGACAGTGCATGTGGAAGGTAAGGGGGTACAGGTTGGTAACAAGAGTCTGGGAGACCCTCAAATCCTGCGGAAAGCGGCTGCCCCCGCCCCTCAACCCCGCCCGCTGCCGCTGGGTTGGCTTTTCTTCCCCGTCACCAAGGACAGAGACTGGCTCACCCCACGACCTGGTCAAAAAAGTGTTTTAAAGGGTAGTCTAATCCCGGGTTCACTCACCTGCCGGAGAGAAACGAAGGCCGCGGTCGCAACCCCCTGTAGCGGAAGTACCTCGGACAACGCTGGACCCTGCACTACACTTCCCAGCATCCACCGAGGGAAAGAGCAGCTGCCCCGCCCCCCTGAGGCGGAAATGACGGTACCACACCGACTGCCTGAATCTAATTTTCGCATCAGTAATAGAATGGACTTCGTATTCTTGCTGTCTGGCAATCAGAGTAACTACACGGTAGCGCATTATGTTCTTCTGTTTACCCAGTGAGAAGGTAACTCCCGGAGCAGTAATGCGCCAGTCACTGGCAGCGTCTGAACTACAAGTCCCAGAATCCTCTGTAGGGCTGAGCTTCCCGCTAGCCTGCAAATTCTCTTTTGCATTAGGTAGTAGGGTCGTTGGTGCCACAACTGGGTTTGCATTTTCTTTTAAGCATTCTCCCTACTAGTCCGTGACAGAAGTTGGAAATATGGGGAAAAACTATATAGGAATGTTTTGTGTGTGCAAAAAAAAAAAAAAGAGATTACAAAAGGGGCGGCTAGAGCTGCTCGTACACAAGCCATCGTAGATGGACCTGGTTTTATTTAAAACACACACACACACACACACACACAGAGCGAGCGATGGGTCAACGAGAAGACACGATACAAAAGCAGCAAAATTATTCAAAATTATTGGCCCTCCCTTAGCTTAAGTTCTCTTGCACTGGCAGAAAATAGTAGGAAGTATTTTAGTAGGAAAATACTTTTTACCTATGTAAAATCTGGACAAAAATTTTCTTTGTTCATATTAGGGAATCAAATTACCAAATTCATGATTTTATAACCAAGAATCTGAAAGTACCTTAAAATTCAACAAAGCAGTTGAAATTAAGAAGTCCTCGATTATTCCAGAAGAAGGGGGTGAAGCGAAGTCTTGAGAAATCAAACTAACAAAAAATAAAGCTATATATTATTAATATATTAGAATAAAATGGGAATATATATTAATAATATATAGCTCCATTATTAATAATATAAAATCCAATTTTATTCTAAGTGGAAACTAAGTATTTTTCAAATTTTATTATGAAAGTCTTTTTTTTAAAAATCAAGAACATAAATAGATTACAAAGGAGAAGCTATAAATATTTGAATAATGTCCACTGAGGCCATCTCAGATGTCACATAAGTACTCTCTCTAGGTGGAAAATATTTTTTTCATTATAGGAACCATTTGATCATATGATTCCCTAATTAATAGAGAGCCCTTTCCCTATAAAAAATAAAAGTAAGTGAAAAAGTCTACAGCTAAAGATTGAAAGTAAAGAATTAAATACTCCAATATGGACTGAAGTCTTCTCCAAATGGTCCCTAAAATTGTATTATTGTGATCCTGTATTACTAATTCCCTCAGGAATCTGGCAAATGAAAATTAAAATCTCAATGGTGAAAGATAGTGTCCTAATCTTCAGTTTACTTCAGTAATTTCTGAATAACAATAAAAATACTGAACAAACTTAGGCTCAATATAAAAATTTGACCAAAAATATTTTAGAAGAAAGGGAAAATGCCAATCCTTTCACCTTATTAATATATACACACAATTCTGAAATAAAATTTTAACATAAGATATAAAAAGAATAATGTGCAAAATAACTAAATGGACAATTTTCCAAAGATATATAGATGGCCACAGGCAAATGAAAAAATGTTCAACACCACTTATTATTCAAGAAATGCAAATCAAAACCACAATGAGATAACACCTGTGAGAATGGTATATATTAGACAGAAAATAACAGCAAATGTTGGCCAAGATGTGGAGAAAAAGGAACATTCGTTCACTGTTGATGGGAATGTAAATTGGTAGAGCCTAGATCGAAAATGCTATGGAGATTCCTTAAAGAACTAAAAATGGAAATGCCATTTGATTCATCAATACCACTTCTAGGTATTTACCCAAGGAACGTGTTTTTATTTACTAATATAAAAAGACTTGTGCACCCCTATATTCATGTCAACTTTATTCAAAATAGACAAGTCATGGAATCATCCTAAATGCCCATTAGCAGACGACTAGAAAAGAATTGTGGTATATATATATACACTCAATGGAATACAACTCAACTATTGAGAAAATGGAATAATGCCTTTTGGAACAAAATGGATGGCTCTTGAATGGTTATTATAAGTAAAATATTGGAAAGCAAAAGACAGTTACAGCACAGTTTCACTCGAGCGTTGAATATAAGTAACAAAAAAGCCAAACTGGCAAAACACAACAAAAATAACTCAAACTTTGTGAAAAATACAGTAGTTACCAAAGTGGAGAAGGGAAAGGATGAGTAAGGTGATAGTTTAGTGTCACAGGAGCTTTGGTGGAGTGGGGGAGAGAGTGAACCATGTACATGTTGGTGTAAATTTGTACTCTCAAAATTATGTGGTCATGTAAACCATAAAAAGTTTGACTTGGACAAATAAAATCTGAGTTGTGACCAGGGATCACAAGCCCACTGGGAAAAAAAGACCAACCAAACAAAAAAACTTAGTTCTTTGTTTCTACCTGTGCGCATCTCAATCAATGTACCCTCCTCCTTTCCGAGAAAACCCCACCCATCTCCACACCTTACAGAAACCAAACCCTACCTAAGGGTGGACATGGGGGCAAACAGGCAGCAGACTGGGATCCCTTGCCACGCAGTCGGTTTACCCAGGTGAATCCTCATTTTCACTTCCAAAAATAAAGTTTTCCCTCTATGCAGTGATGAGTATTATTTATCAATGAACACTGCCCTCCTAAAGGTGGCAGGCACCATACCGCAGAGTCCACCGAGGCTCTGCAGTGCACATGCCTTCTACATCCTGGACTCAGAATCAAGCATCCTCCACACAAGGAGGAGCACCCGGAACGGCCCACCTGCACATTTTGGCACCATGCCCCCCGGCGCGCCTGCACACGTCTACTCCAGGACCCCACAAGCACAGGCTACAGAACAGAGGGGCTCCGGCGGCCATGACTGTTCCCGCTGGACTGCATTTCCCAGAAGCCATCGGGCACATCGCCCTTGAGCTCCAGGTCCTCTTCCCAAGCCGAGCAGTTGTAGTTCAGAGCGGTGTGTTGGTCGTGCCTAAGAGTGACAGTTAGTGGAGGCTACAGCCATTCCAGATCGGAGTGTGATTGAGACCCGAGGTCGCCAGGAGAGGTGGTGCGGACGCAGACGGGCGTAGTCGGATCGAAAACAGATTTGTGAGAAGACTGTGAGAGAGAAATGACCTGTAGCGCTTGTCTGTCAGTGACTAGTGCCTTACTGTGCGTATGTAACTGGGTGACTGTGCTTATTTAACGGGGTGGCTTATTTAACGGGTTGTCCTGGAACCCAAGTCTCTGGTAATAAAGCATTAACATCTTGAACACTTTCTGATAAGAAAGTCATTTTGGTTTTACCAAAAATTCATGATCTCCCTCCAATTATGACAACATCAGACAAAGCAAGTGGAGGGGCACTGTACAAAATAAATGAAGAGTACTCATTCATAGTGAAAAAGTCCTAAAGCTAGATGTGATGGCCGTGAGGATAATGCCGTGAGTCCTGCCTCCTGGTGTCCATTGCATAATCTCCCTTGGAGTATGAACAGGACCTGGTACTTGCTTCTAACCAGAGGAAAAATTACAAAGATGAGTGGCTGTCATTCTTTTGATTGTTACTTTACAAAAATAATGGGTAAATAAAGAAATGTCATCCCTGTCATTTCATTATGTCATGTAGCACTCCATTACTGCAGACTGGAGCTTGAGCTTCACCTTGGGGTGATGCAGTAAATGGCAATGTGGGAGAAGCCCACGTTGCAATAATCTGCAGGAGGCACTTTGGGACTGAGGGATCCTCCAGTTGGCAGCCAGCAAAAAGCCGATGCTCTCAGTTATATTGCCACCAGGAAGGGTGCCTGCAGTCTGAATGAACTTGAAGTAGATTCTTCCTCAGCTGAGCTTCCAATGAGCTCACAGCCCAACTGACACCTGGTTTGCAGCTATTGAGATCAGCCAGGGCAGTGACCCACATGGTGTGGCAGACATCTCCTGGCCCATCCATTGCTCCCCTCAGCAGTGTATTTTGTCAATCTGCCTGTTCTGCTCCCAGCTCTGTTTCTGGTGAATCCTCTCACCCTCCACACCTCTGACCTGTACCCCAGTTCTGTATGCATAAATAAATCTTTTAAAAAAAGAAAGATAATCTACGTCGCCACTGAAGCACTATTACTGATAGTAATAGTAGCTTTATAATTTCCTATAATATTTAGTCCATTTACAAATTTCTACTGTTGCTTAAAAAATGTCTTCAAAATGATGACCTAAACAAACAAAAAGAACAAAATAAGCTCATGCATTTTAAATGATAGGACTTATCATTTGGTCAAAAATTTACCCTCCACCTTTTCTGTGACTTAGCCTGAAGATTCAGAAGTAACACGTAGGTTTGCAATTTCATTATTTTGGGGCTTACTGTCCTTTTCTTTGTATTTATTGTGAAATGGAGGTTGTATATATAGGCCTAAATTTTATATTAAACATTTTGACAAAACTACTCACAGAGATGTCAAATATCAGGTGGCATATAGGCTTGATCTCTATATATTGACTACCAGCTCTTTCCAGTGTATTGATAAATATCTTTCTTTGCAGTTAATAACTAATCCATGGAAGGTCACATTGGCATTCCACTTGGAAATTTAAAGTCTTATGTATTTTAAATAAATTTAGACAAATCTCATCTTTTGTTTTTTACCTTTTCTAGTGCTCTTTCTTCCTTTCTCATGATATGTATTGCTATCTGGAATCAGTTCCCTTCTGTTTGAAGAACTTGTCATTTCTTGAGTACACATCTGCTGGTGATGAATTTTGAGAATTCCTCTAATTGAAACCCCTTTGTTCTTAAAAAATACTTTTTTCTTGCTACAGAATTCCAAGTTTTGTTTTGTCTTTTAAAAAAAGATACTATACCATTGCACTGACTTTTGGCCTCCACAGGTTATGAGAATATGAATTATCTTTCCTCAGATGTAATGTGCCATTTTCTCTGG